CGGGCCAAACCGGAAACATAACTATCTGGCAGTGGAATTGCGCAAGTTTCGTAAGGCGTAAAGCTGCTCTACTGCAGCTCATCAAAGCACAGGCGTCAACGCCGCACGTCCTGCTCTTGCAGGAAACACTTAGCGAGAAGGTAGTTCTCTCGGGCTACCGTTCGATTAGCCAAAAAGGCGCAAATGGCAGAGGTATCGCCACGTTGGTCAGGAAAGATACCTCCTTTGAGCAGCACGAAGTCAACATTTGCGACTCGGATAAGAGATCCGGTCTCGAGGCACAATTAATTGAAATCATCCCCAACGGCAAAATCCGAAGCAACATATTCGTTTTTAACCTGTATAGCCCTCCTTCGGCTTATAAACATAATATCCGCTCACTCCTTCATAGGGTCGCAACTGCCGCCAGATCGCACCCTTTAATAGTAGCTGGGGATTTCAACGCTCCCCATCCGTCTTGGGGCTATGTTACGAGGACAAAGAAAGGGGCCAATCTAGTTGCAGCCAGTATAGACTTAAACCTAACGCTTATCTCCGACCCGCGTTTTCCCACGAGGCTGGGAAACTCGGTCGCCAGAGACACGATGCCTGATCTCAGCTTCACTAGAAATGCGGTGGTCGAGTGGTCCAACTTACAGGAGAACTTGGGAAGCGACCACAGCATCATAGAACTCCGGATGGAAATAAGAGCACCACCCCCAAGAACCTATAAATATACAGACTGGGACCTTTTTAGGCAAATCAGAGGTGAAGATGAGTCAGTACATGACACCTTCAGTGAACTTCTTGTACAAATCCAGAAGGATGTCGAGAAGGCCACCAAAGAAATAGTAACAGAATTTGATGCTCCGGGGATGGATGCAAGGTTAGCGCACCTCCTGGACGCCAAACGCTCTCTCATCGCGAGATGGAAAAAACAAAGGCTAAATCGCAGGCTACGGAAAAAGATTGCGGAGCTCAATCGGCATATTGAGGAGCACTGCTCCGAACTCCATAAACAACAATGGAGGGACGCCTGCTCGGCTGCGGACGGGAAAATGCGCAAAGGAGGCAAATGGACCCTCTTCAAACACCTCCTAGATGATGGACAATCCAAAGGCAATCAGAAACTAGCCATAGACCGACTTATTAATAAGGAGAAAATGGCAGGCATCTCAGACGCTTCCCAATTTCAGATACTTGCCAACAAGTACCTCCCGCTTAGCCAGAGCTCAACTTCTGTCCCCCACCGGTGTGAGGGTGTGCCTTCCCCAGAGTTGGACGCTCCCTTCTCGGAAGCTGAGATCAGGGAAGTGCTCCATAGCCTAAACGGAAGGTCTGCCCCAGGTCCCGATGGAGTTACGAATCGGCTCTTAAGAAATTTGGATGATAAAGCCATTCAGGCCTTAGTGAAGGAGATAAACAGGGTATGGGAGGAGGGCGTCGTACCAGAAACTTGGAAGAGGGCCACAGTGGTCTTAATCCCCAAGCCAGGTAAATCACCCAGCTTAGATCACCTCCGCCCGATCTCCCTTACTTCTTGCCTTAGCAAAGTAGCAGAACATGCAGTACACAACAGGATATCGCGCTACATCGAGAGGAATGACCTATTTCCATATAATATGGTAGGTTTCAGGCCCTCACTTTCCACGCAAGATGTCATGCTCCTCCTCAAAACACAAATAATTGACTTTCCAAGCAAAGATGTAAAAGGGGTCCTCGCACTGGACCTCACTAAAGCATTCGATACTGTCAAACACGACTATATTCTTAAGGAGATATCGGCTTTGAACCTGGGAGTTAAATTCTTCTCCTTCGTTGAATCTTTCCTCGAGAGTTGGACGGCGGCAATAAAACTGGGACAATCAGTCTCGGAGCCTTTCAAACTCGGACGAAGGGGTACTCCCCAAGGGGCAGTTATCTCCCCCCTTCTATTCAACATAGCCATGCGCAAGCTGTCGGCAAGCCTTTCTAAAGTTCCTAATGTCGGACACGCTTTATATGCTGACGACATTGCAATCTGGTGTCCCGGAGGATCGGAGGCGGCGGTTGAACAAGCTCTACAGGAGGCTCTGGACGTTACAGAGTCTTTCCTGGAAGGTACGGGACTGGCGCTTTCGCCGGAAAAGTCGGAACTCCTGCTGTACAGACAGGCTAGACGAGGTGTTAGGGGACTCACCCCTCTCGATCAGGTGCCCATTAGCGTTTGCACCAAGGATGGTCGCACAATTCCTAGAGTCAATTCTATGAAAATTCTGGGGCTTTTATTAGACTCTAAGGGATGCAACGCAAAGACTATAGCCCATCTCACCACAAAAACAGAGAACATTCTGAGATTAATTATGCGGGTGTCCAACAAGAAGGGCGGCATAGGCGAGGATATCCTCCTTAGGGCCCACCACGCTTTCCTCATGAGCCATATCATATACATAGTGGCGGCTCTCAATTGGACCAAAACGGAAAGGGATAAATTGGACACGCTCATGCGCAAAAGTGTCAAAAAGGTGCTCGGCGTCCCAATCACGACTAGCACAGAAAAACTCATGAAGTTGGGAGTGCACAACACCACTTCGGAATTAATTGAAGCGCAAAGGTCAGCACAAATAATTCGGTTATCTAGTTTCAAAACAGGAAGAAAACTGCTCGATGCGGCAGGCCTCCGTCCTATCTTCAATCAGGGAGAAACTACGCAGCTTGATTATCAAACAAGGAATTCCTTTATTGTTGACCCTCTTCCACGAAACATCCATCCCCAACACAATAAAGGTCGTAGGTTGGCGAAAGCTAGGGCTTTCGTAAAGAACCTCTCCGGAACAGAGACATTTGTGGACGCGGCGCGCCACGCCGGCGGCAGCGGGTTTTCCGTGGCAGTAGTCAATGACAGGGGAGAACTTGTCTCGGCAGCTTCAGTGAAGACCTCCTTGGTCGATGTAGCAGAACAGGCTGCTGTAGCGCTGACATTACTGGACACGAAACGCACCACGGTGTACACCGATTCCCGAGCGGCCGTTAGGGCGTTCGCATCGGGATTGATAGCCACAGAGGCAGCCAGAATTCTCCACAGCAAACCCCCCTCAGACGTTATTCATCACATAGTCTGGTTTCCCGCTCACATGGGACCAGACGTACTGCCGGGTCACCTGAACCCAAACGAGATAGCCCACGACTGTGCGCGAGGTTTCACAAGCCGCGACGGGGTGGTCTCTCGGGTGGGTTCGGGAGAGCTCGTCCACAGTGATCCTCTCGTTACTTTTCACGAGATAACATCTCATTACAGAGGAAAGCGACAGACTTTTCCCTTTCCCCATCATAAGCTCCACAGATCACAAGCAAGCACGCTCCGCATGCTCCAGATGGGGTCTTACCCCTCTAGGGGCTTTCTGAGCATGCTTCATCCGGATATTGATCCACTTTGCCCAGATTGTGGTGAATTTTGCTCTTTGAGTCACATGCTCTGGCAGTGCCCTGCGTTACAGGATTTTAAAACAGAAGAAGACTGGACGACGGCAATCACAGACCCCAGACAAGACGTCCAGCTTCAGGCTGTCCAGAGGGCCCGTGAACGAGCGGAGAGGCATGGCCTCTCTGTTCCGACATGGGACTAGCCAACGGCTGGGTGGGGACCTACATAGTTGGCCCGCTGCCTTGCCTCTCAGGACCAAATAAAGTTGTTTGTCCTGTGTCCCATATATATGAAACCGTTTCATTCTGACGTAGTTAGCTAGCAGAAACTAGTTGAGGTTACGTGTTCGCAGGACATTCGGAGCGCAGATTCTACAACGAGGGAAGTGCAACTGTTCCGACAAGTCGAACGGTTCCGTTCTTCGAGGCATCCGGAAACCGTTCTCGTGGCTACTGTGAAGTCACTTCTTCAGAAAATGAGAGGAAAGAGTGGAAGCAAATGAGCCCAGGCTAAAGGCGAAAACTGCAAATTGTGAACTAAAGGCAGCCCATGCGTAAAGGAAATCCCTTCAATGAGCTGCATTTAGTTTACAATCTGCAATTTTTAGATTTATTCTGGACGCTAGCGGCGCGATACAGTGGCTGGGCCTATTGGCATTGCTCTCGTAAATAAATTTTTATTTTAGATACGACCTGTTAAGAAAGAAAAACATCAATGTACCTTGATTCTGCATGGGCGTGCTTCTGTGTTCACAAAATGCAGGAAAGGTTTAACCTCCAAGTAGAGAAGCTAAATTCAGCCGGATATACTTTTGATAGACTATGGTAGCAGTAGGAAAACCCTTATTATAAATCTGAAGGCTAAACCGAAGACAAAGCCGTCGGTGGAAAAGAGACCTCAGGTCGGGTCGAATGTATACAAACTTTCCTACAACACAAAGAATGTGGCGAACGGGCACAAGGTACAATGTATATCGTTTTGTAACTTCCACGGTAGTTGACCGGCACTCTCTTCACGCTTCCCAGAGCCTTGTAAAAGGTGACCTTTTGTGATAAAAAGCACGCAAGACCGTTTGTATGTTGCGTGGTGTGAGTTCATGGTCGGCGAAATCGGACTCACATGCGGCAATGTTTATACTTACCAGACTAGACGCTGCATTAATGAAAGGCATAGATGCATGAGCTTTCAAATAAAAATAAGATAAGTGCCCATTCACCTAGCACTGTGAATCCTGCATGTATGGACCGCACTCTACGTAATATTTTGTTAAGAGTAAGATTCCTGTATCTCGTGAATTTCGGAGGCGCATATTAAGAATTGAAGGGAGATCTGTGCACTATTGACACGTGTGTCACCCTGCGTAAAGTAGAAGTGACATTTTTTTTATCTTGTGGTGTCATAACTGTGGAAGTATTCGTAATTGTCATGCGCTACTGTAACTGTGCAAATGTATTCGTGTATATAAGGAGGAGCCTTTTTTTTTAAAATAAAGTCAGTTGCAAGTTGAGGCTCTATCCTGTCCCATTCTTTTTTTGCATGTGCGGGTCTCGTCCTTGAGCTTTCTTCAGCATGAACCAGCTAATACCACAACACGTTCCAGAAAACATTCTTAGCTTACCTTTCCAATCATGTGCGTTTGGTAACCGAGGTCCTTCAAGTACTGAGGCATCAGCCTGAGACGTAGTGGCAGTCCCCATGGCTCGCCTATTTGTATGACTGAAGTCTCCATGCCTGCGGATTAAGACGCAATCAATAAAGCGTCCACCCTTTCCGAGCGGTCTTAGACGTCAGTGCACTGCATTGATTGTTTTGTAATGTAACTTCACAGCTAAGTTAATGTACTGCGCTACGAACTAAACGATACTAAACTCGTTCTTTCGAACATACTTCAATGTTGTACTTCGAATGTTTTGCGAATGCAAACCTCTGGAATGCAGGATGCGTGTTTAATTTGATCGGACGTGTAAAGTAAGAGTACACAACATGAGGCGTCAAGTAGAGCATGCTGTGTTTTGACAATCTTCAGTACTTGTTCTGTACTATAATGCAATAGTTGCAATGTTTAATTCAGGACGAGGTGACACACTTGGTACGGTTAAAAATATATAGATGATATAATTGATAAACGTACGTCCATTGCAAGTTGCTCGTTCACCCTCCTGACTTTCCATTTGAAAATTTATCATTGTATTCCCATTAAATGTAGACAAGTAATTTAGTCTGTGGTTGCAACCGTAAAAATATGTTCCTAAAGTTGGTTTGCGTTCGCGCTCAAGCAGCTGTATTAACGCTTTTGTAGCTTGACAGCCTTGGTTGTTATTCCGAAGCAGTTTAGCGGACGCATAAATATTTCGGAGGTTGCAGTGCGCATGCGCACTAACGCAACCTGCATCGGCCCCCATTTTTTTTTCAGACACCACGCTGCACTGCCGGGGGCTGTGTGTGACCTCATCATTTCTTTTTTCTTTTTGACGCAGCTTCCATAGTGTGAGGCTCTCGTGTGTTTTCGCACTTGAGAGAGTGCGCTTTAAAGATAGCTGCGAATGAACGAATTTTCCAACTGCCACACTGTACTAAGGTGGTTGATCTAAACAGAGATCTGAGAGAGAGGAGGAACGTGACTTAGCAAAGCTCAAGCAGCTAGCGCGCTTGCCAGCGAGCCGTCCATGAGAGATGTTAAGCGCGTACAGCATACTGCACTGCTGTTTCACGACCACGCATTGAGTGTGTTTGTGATTGCGAACGCCCAACTGATACTCTGTTCACGTGCTAGCCAACCTTGGTTAACCTCCCTGCCTTTCCTCTCTATTTAGCTCTCTCTCTCTTTCTATTCACCCGCTGACATGTTTAGGTAATTTATCTGTCGTGTTGTTGAGAAAGTTGAAATGGACGAGCTTTTAATGCGGCAAGATGTTTCACTCTCCTTGGGAATTGCGTACCGGTGTGGATAGCTTCACTCTCCTTTGGAATTCATGTTTTGCGTACCGGTGTGGATAGGGTAGAGGCCCGTCATCAGAGCGGCTCGTGAAGGAGTGCACACAGGCTGCACGTAGTAGTTGTTCAAAATAATCCCGTCGGCGGCCAGGACGTCCATGTTTGGAGTCGGTATTTGGGGCGAGCCGTGAAAGCTCACGTCATCCCAGCCCTGCAGGTAAGCGAAGGCTCGCATTATCTGACGTATTTTTTTTTTTGTAAGCTGAACGAACTAAACGCTAATTCACACCCGCGAGTAGGTTGCAGGACCATTTGCGACTGCCGACAGCAAGTCGCCTCAACTCAAGGCGAGCGCTGCTCATACCTGCTTGCGACATAATGATAGCTTGCACATTTTGTGTCACGGATGTAAAACATGGGTACATCGTGGCCGCTTAAGTGACGTCAAAGCAATATAAGGGCGAGGACTAATCACGTTTAGTGTGATAACCGTGTCACTGGAAAGTTACTGGTCACCTTGCATGAATGATGGAAGAACCTGCATATAATGCACCGATAACACAGGGGACGGCTTGCTCGCACGTCACTGAAACAGCTGGGCTGTAGAACTAACATGGTGGGACGCAAGCTATGTGATTTCACGTTAGTGTTATCAGTACATCGTACCACCAAGCATTAACGTGGGGCTTCCACAGAGCACTCACGTCTGGTCTCGTCGCCGATCGCATGGCCACTGCCAGGTAAAAAAAAATCTTGCGTACTGTTGCGGCTTACCCGATTGGTTCGAAGGCTCGCGACTGCAGTCGCGCGATTGAAAAAAAATAGAGTCATGAGTGACTGAGCCAAAACAGTTGTTCAGGGGCAAAGGTGCTATTTGATAGTTGCGCGATCGACTCTAGTTGCAGTTGTGAATGAGCTTTTAGATATTGACAAGCGGAGTGTACACGCATGCGAGGTTGAATCACACTGCGCGGATATACGGGGTTAGACACAGTGCACGAGGAAGTTGTCTGGACCACCACAGGAGCACGATATGAACATACAGATAGAAAACTCTGTTGCAATCTTAATTTTTTAGTAATATAGGTTAGGAAATCAGATATGCAAGAATAAGGGAAGTTTTTATGTGTCTGTTGAATAAATCGCTTGTGGTCTTACGTTGATGACTCAGTGAAGCTTCTTCCCGCTATGTACTGCATACTTCGACTATGTCACAGCTATTCGTTTTATACGTTTAGAAAAATAAAACTTAAATATTCTTTCGTTTGTATACAAGAAAAAAAAGCTCATTTAGAAATTACATACATACGAACCAGATCATCAGCAAGAATGAATATAATGTTTGGTGGCATTTTAGAAGCCTTTGATAGCCATGGCAGCAAAACAATGGTTATCATCGATGAAGCGACATTCGGTACCTGTCGGAAGAAAGAATAAAGCGAGACATGGCATTGATAATACTAAAAGCAATTTCTTCTTCTGGAACGCTTGCTGACACTAGCACGCATTTCTTACAGCGGCTATGCGACTGAATGACAGAGTGTTTACTCGGCAGCATGCTTTTCTCTTCTTTTTCAGATTAATATCTGCTGCCATCAAAACATTACCGATTCGTGTGATCCAGAGTAGTATTTCAGTTGGGGTCAGGCTCTCTTGTTGAGCTGTGAAAGGCGTACGAGAAAGCAAAAAAAAAAGTGAACTAGTTTTGCGAAGAGTGGCTATTTGGGGGTACATTTCATTCGTATGGTGTCCTATTTTAAAGTCTGATGACCTGTTTATGCTGTTAATTGTTTTCCTTGGACTTGCATAAGGATGCATTGCCGAAAATAGCAGTGCTGCCACAAGGCGACGTAAACATCTAGGCTACGGTTGTGGCACTGCGGCATTTGATAAAGAGTTAGCTTTAGTACTATGTTAGTAGTGCATGCTGCCAGATTAAGTTAGGCGTCTGCAGAGCTGTTTTGTACACTCAACTAAGTCTGTCTATAATTAAACATCGCTAACAGCAATGTGCGGGGCCCTTTTAAATAGGGGTTAGACTTGCTAAGCAACGGCTATACGAACCTCTGACGTCATGTCTGCTATAAGCCGACAAGGACTTCGCCGGTGTAAGGCAATGGGGTCCAGTCACGCACTGACGCTTGCTCGGTGAAGTAATGCCAATATAAGCCCTCGCTGATATTGAAGTATGCACAAAAAAGCCACGCGTTCGTGACAGATGCGCGGAAATGTGTCGTCTGATGCGCATGGCCGCACTTAGAAAAAGTAAGCAGTGTCTGCGTTTATGCAGACGACATCGTGACCCCAGCCTGCGTCGCAGTGAACGAGGTCAACTCATTGTCCAGGGTTTGGCCAGTATTTGGAGCGCGCAAGGTTTTGCGTGCGTTGTATCGGACGTTTTCTTTTCTTGTTTTCATTCACGCCGAATGCGGACGCGTTACTCGACATTAGCATCGTCTGTTCAGCTGCTACGTAACCGAGCGTCCCTGAGGCCTCGTTTCCTACATCTAAAAATAGAAAGAAAAGGAGTGGGGTATCAGTGTTACACAATGCTTGCCTTCGAACATTACTGAAGAGTTCAGGACGCATGCTAGGCAAGTAGAAGATGAGTATACCCCTCTGCCATTAGTGGCTGGCCTTAAATAAGGGCGAATATTCAAAGCCGAAGTCAAACTTTGCCGCTGACTTGCAGAAATTGTGATATTTAGGTAACAAGCTCAAGTGTTTGGGTAGCGGTAGCGCGGAGTGATATATCTTGGGATCCCCTTATGGGGCGCTTGTCTGCTGCACGCAGAAACATTCGCGCTAACGCTAAGTACGCGGTGCGCCCTGCTCAAGTCGATATATGTCTTAGATCAACTGCGTAGCAACTGAAACAAAATTAGCAGACGGATATTTTGATGTTTCCTTCAAGGAAAGTTTTTCATGATTGCTTCAAAGCGATCTCAATACTGAGAGAAAGAGAGAATGAGAAGTTGAATGTTAATGAAAAGTCTATTCCGCTATGCAATAGAAATACCGCTAACGGGATTCATACTTGTAAAGAAGTGCGTTAGATCTTACGAGCATTGATCTGCCATCATTTGGTGCGAACTAGGATAGTTGTTTCAGAAGATGTTAACTTGACGAAAATGCGATGTATACACTTCACCTACAGCGAAAATGGCCAGTGATGAAGCAAATGCAAAAGAAGAAGAAAAAGTCTAAATTTTTATCTTATTACGTTAATGGGGGTTAGTTAGTATTTCTTCACTCTTTTTCCCGTACCCTGCAGCTCACAACAAGGTTGAAGTCACGATTTCACAGCGAGGGCGAAGAAAGAAATACGACAGGAACAACTTGTAATATTATACGAAGTAAGGCTGGCTGCTATGTCTTTGGGACCCAACTTCGGGTAACTTTACAAAACGCTGGGGTAAGAAAATATGGCTGCTCCAGGAAGAGAGGCGGTTTTCACCCAGTGTCTTCGCGTTCAAAGCACGGCACGTCGGAGAGTGAGGGAGCCTTTTACAGCGTGTGCACCAGAGATCGCAATCGTGCTATTGTAGTCTAAGTTCACAGTAGCTGTTCGAGCCACACACTTCCCCAACCCTTCCCTGGCGTCCCTACACGCTCCTTGTAGACGTTTGCTCTCTTCTAGAGCTGCAATCGACGACTGACTTCACATGCGAGTTGACGTTATCACATGCGCCCACCGTGCGAATGATACGGGCGCGGCTAATTTGACCTCTACTTCCGTCACTTTCGTTGCACCAGCTCGCGCGCTCTTTTTAGCGAGTATAACATACGATGTGCGAGGGGTTTTTACCGCTAGGGACTTTATACGGAACGTTGTGGTCACGCCGATGGCAGAGAGCCGTCGAGAGTGTTGATAGAGTTGATGCCACAATAATAAAAAAAGAAGCGTCCTCTGTACTCACAGAATTATTTCATTTTGCGCCTGTTTTGGTTCTGCCGTACACTATTGCTAAGCACTTAGAGTATCCACAGGAAATATTATATTACACGAGATCCCATAAATAATTTTTATTGACACAAATAGCATCTATCTTGATGGTTGATGTATCGCGTCCTAGAAACTGTTCTAAAATTTATGAAATGTGAAACTTGTTCTACTCTTCTCAAGACACATTATATAACAAGGGTATGAAACACGCGGGCCACATGCAGTCCGCAAAGCTTTTGCTAGTAGCCCACCACTTCCTAAAAAAAGCTGGTCTCAAATATTTTTTCTTTCGCGTATTCACCCGATACAGTCAAACATTACCGTGAAACAAACTGATGTTACAGAATATTTGTCCACATTTGGTCATGCTAAAGGCTGATATCAATGTGTTATTTATTAAATCCAGATGCCAAATTGCCATGTCCCCCCCCCCCCCCCCCTGGGCATGATCTATATGTCGTACACGAGAAAGGCGGCGCCTTAGAAATGGCAGTGTTAGCTTAGGTTTTGAACAAACGATAGTTATTGTATTCGCTACCTTTAGATAGTAGCATATACTATAACTGAGCCCGCGTCCGCCGATCAGGTTCATTCAACTCAAGTGGGCCAACTGAGATATTTACTATTCAGAAGTTCGTTTAATTGAGAGGTTTTTGCAAAGAATGCAAATGAAAACCGCCGCGGACTTTCCAAAAGTTAGTTATTGTGGAATATTTGTTAAAATGACGTTAGGTTAACTGAGAGTTGACAATAGTAGTCTGCCAGTGATGCACATTGTTATTGCAAATGTCTAGAGTGCTTATGTATGGAAGATATAATTTGTGTACAATCTTGGGCACCAGCCGAAATGTACAAACACGGAGTTATGATTTAATGGTTGAAGTTTTTTTCGTCGTTGATTATTTACGATATTATGGTTCAATTCTGAATTTTATCAGTAGAAAACAAAGAGGGCAGATAAGGTGGGCCCAAACTGCCTTTGTTTTTGCTGCAACAACTGCTTGCTTCAAGTGCTCAGATAACTGGTATATTTACGAAAAAAAATTCTAATAGAGCCACCTCCTCCCACTCCCCCATTACGATCTAGTTAATTCTGCCTAGTTAATGAAAGTGACAGAATCCTATTGTAAAGCAGGGAGACACGATCTCTCCAATGCTATTCACCGCGTGCTTACAGGAGGTTTGCAGGGCCCTAAATTTGGAAGAGTTAGAGATAAGTGTTAATGGAGTGTATCTTAGTAACCTGCAATTTGCTGGTGACATGCCCTAATAAGTAGCTCAATGGACGAATTACAGCTTATGATTGCTGAACTGGACACGGATAGTAGTAGAGTAGGTCTGAAAACTAATTTGCACAAAGTTAAAGTGATGTGCAACAGTCTCGGCAGAAAATAGCACTTTGCAATAAGTGGAGAGATCCTGGAAGACGCTGCAAGACCATGATGCACGCAATGAAATAAAAAAAATTAGATTCGACCTCCAAGGTAGCTTCGACCTGGTGAAAGACATATATCCCTTTGTTGCCTGGCATGTCGTGGGTCTATATGAACAGTTAGTTTTGCAGTGTTTATTATTCTATTTACTATTTTATTTATATTTCAATAGACTAAATGCCCCAAGGTGTTAACTAAGAAAATGATGAATGAAAAACAAAATATATGGGGGATAACTATTGCCAATGGCTTAGTATACACACAGTAAATACAAGCATTAGTGAACGGTGTATTTAAATGCTGGTGTACTTACAACGGCGACGATGTAAGTTGGTGGGTGGTTCCATTACTTTGCCTTTTTCGGCGCAAATAAATCTATATACAACGAGTATGGCATTGAGGTCATATTCCGCGCTTTCGTATGCCGCTGATTTCGACAAAACGACTTCACGGAACAGCTTTGCTCGTGGCTTCGTGATACAAAGAGGTAATTGTCAATCAATCCTTTCCTAACCCTTTCGTCACCTTCTGAGATTCCGCAGAGCTCATCTGCAATACTCTGTATCCTTGTGCTCCAACCTGTTGACTGAGTCACCCTCGTGCTGTCAATTGGCCAAGAGGGCCTCCATTGGAGAGGCCGGCACTGCGATCGTTTTGACGTCACTACTGCTCACCTTGCTGCGTAGAAGTTGTGGAACGCAAAGGTCGGGTGAAATTGCGGTGCGTGAAGTTCAATTTTTAACGTGTTAAGTTTACGAGGGAAGTATTTCATGATATATTAGTACCTTTTAGTTTTCTCGACATCACTTGCATCGTCTCTCATGGCGTCAGCTGTACCAGCTTTAGCTCATATTTCATGATTTTATAATGCAAATTAGACGCGCTGGTGCCCCCGGTGGCACAGAGTCGCGGTTTGCTTGCCCGGATGATAAGATCGTACCCCTGCTTTCAGTAATGACCTTCAAAACAAAGGGAAGCATGTGCGGTGTACGCAGGAGAGACGCGTGGTGGCAAAAACGCAGGAAATGCGGTGTTTCAGCAAATGATATACCTAGGCATATTTTGACGGACGTCACAACGTAGGGGGCGCCACGCGATGCCCTCGAGGCAAGTGGCATCTTGGTTAGTTGATGTGGTAAGGTGACCGCACCGGAAGTCATTGGTCTCGGGCTGGATCCTTGGACCAGAACAAATTTTTCTTCAACTAAAAAGCTTCAATTTATGAGAAATACCTGTACGGATTTCTTGGAAGCTTCGTGTCACAAAGGGGTGGTTGTCAGTGATCTCTTTCGGGACGAATCTAACGCCACCACTGGACTCTGCTGAAATACCCACAAAACAAGCGTTTCCAGCGAGGGTTGCTCGGGTGGGTCGGCTAGACAAATTCAATTTCACCTATCAAAACGCCAGCCCTACTTTCAGATGCACTCGCACAAGATGCAAAGTGTCTTTTAGCACGAAAGTGGTTTGTGCCAGGTTTTACCACGGCTCCGCCAGCATATTTGTGTCAAGGATATGACGCCTTAAAACGAATAAGAACAAACTGCAAAGAAAGAAACGAAAGAAAAAAACAAAAACAAAATGACAGCATATCCACGGAGTGAATGATGGAGAGTGGGGTGAAGCATCCGTCCGTTCATTCGTTCTTGCTTCCGTCCGCCCATGCGTCCATCTGTGTGACCATCCGTGCTTCCATC